GGTTCAGTGAGCAACAGCTGAGAGAGAGCAGGTGTTACTGTACGTCTCCCAGGCCTCATGAATCTCCAACACGACACACAATACAAGTCCGGATTCATTTTCACTGCCTGCATTGATTTGTTTCACTTCTGTACATGAGCCTTTTGGTTTAAAGGAACAATCGATTGGTCGCAGGTGAAAATGTCAGCGCTCTCCTCTTTAACCAGCTGTTTCCCCTTTGAGAGAGAATTTTTTTTTTGAGCTCTATCTTTATAACTGCTTCTGTTTTTCTGTCCTTTTTGTTTTCTTCCGTTTTGCAGGTAGCAGAGTGCAGAAGGTTGGAACAATGCCAGATTCACCTGCGGATGTAAAAACCCAGCCCAGGTCCACCCCACCTACCATGCCTCCTCCACCCCCGGCTGTCAGCCAAGCAACAAGTCGCAACGCCTCTTTCACCCCAACCACTAGTAAATCAAGTAAGACTACTGTTTTATTTCAAAAAAATCTCTTTAATCTTGTTTTAAAGAGTACTAAATGCAAACTATAATATCAAACATTAAAAGATTATCTAGAAATATATCAAATGTTGCCATTTAAAAGATTTTACTCCGATAGTTCTTCAATTCTGAGATGTGGGTACGCACTCAATGTCAACAAAACATCTTTATCTGCATGTTTGAGTATAAATACGTACTAAACCATCAAAATAATCTACCTTTATGTGGTCACTTTGGCTGTTCTTGTAGGTAAACAAATGAGTTTGCAGTCCAATTTTTAATTGAAGAACACTTTACCCATCAATARGAGAAAAATATTGTGAGGATTTTGTTTCTTACTTTATAATTTTTTTCCCCACGACATTCCAATAAGTACATTTAAACTGTGCAACTTGGATTTATTTACAAGCTTCTTGAAAAGGTACAAACCCCGTTTGTCACAAATGATCTGTCTGATCCCGCAGAGCTCTTTTACGTGCTGTGTGGTATACGTTTTCATGTCTGCAGGCAGTAAAACAGGCAGGTGCAAGAGCAACAGTGGGCTCTGTCATTAACCCACGTGTCATTTCACACAAAACACGCAGCGTGACGAAAAATTGTTGCAGCCTGGGACCTGCGACACAGCAAATATTACAGAGCTGGCATCTATATCTAAGCATTATTTTAATAGTGGCCATCTGGATCATAACTATGTATCTAAGTGAAGCCACCAGGAAGTGGGAGTTATGATACCTTTTGTGGGCTTCGATCTAAATGTTATTATGCAAGCTGTGGTTTATAGCATTGGCAGGATTTTATTTCACTCTCATTTTGAATTCTGAACAATAGCCAAATGTTTCTCAACTATCTGCAACTTGCCATTTACTCTAATAAATAATGAATATCTCTTATGGTCAGATTTTAATGAAACTCTGAGATAGATGATTAYTGTTTAGAGTCACTGCAACGTGAGACGGCTACCACAGCTAATCGATAGTAGCCAAAATGACTCAGTCAGTTGTACAGAAATTGAGTTGAATTTCATTTGGTAGTAGCTGATAGTCGTTCTCAGTGGTGGGCAGCACTAATCTAAATATTAGTTTCACTAACCCTAAAGCACTAACTCAAATATTTAGGTCCCCCAATTCTAAAACACTAACACACTGAAAAATTTAGCGAAAACATTTGAAGACCTCAGTTAGTGCTTCTAAATTTAGTCCATAAATTTAGCAAGTGCTAATCCACTAAAGAATTAAAAAAAAAAAACAGCAAAAGCCCTAAAGCACTAATCAGGAAATTAGCTCCCCTATTAATGCTTTAGGGGAACTGTGCCCACCACTGGTCGTCCTCATAATGTGCTTTGAGTGCTATCACATCTCACCTGATCYCACATCTATAAGGTTTAAAGAAAATTCACAATTCGGTTCGATTCGATACTTTAGTCTCACGGTTTGATATTTTCTCGATACAAAAAAAGAGAAAGTCCATGCCCTTCTTGATTTGTAATTTATTTAAATTAATTATTATTTGTTTAACCTCAAAAGTACAGTTTTTAAATTAAATGTTGCTGAAACAGCAAGTTTCTCAGTGGATCTGCGCTCGACTATGCGGCCTAGGTGGAGTAGTCGAACACAGATCCACTGATCCTTTGACACAGATCTTCCAAAGACAAGTTGATGAAATTAATTTAAAAAATCTGTATTGTTTGATAGTGTGTATTGAACCTAAAGCACTGTTTTGCCCGACTCAGATATATGATTATATGATTGTTACACWCTAAATAAGGTTTTATCTAAGTAACTTTAAAGTTCTGATATAGGGCAATGACTGATTTGCATTCTTTTTCTCTTTTTTTGTTTGTTTTTGTGGGAAAATGTGTTTTTGTTGTGTTTTAAACATCAACACCACAGACAGAGTGTATTACATATTACCTCAGGATCCATCCACAGTTGTCCCTGCATGAAGGCAGACGAATCCCACGTGTGTTCCTTCATTGATCTGGTYAACAAGTGCTCAGTTGTGTTGTCAGGTGTGTGTTTCTGATGGCATTTGGMCYTGAGAAGTGTCCTTTCTGGGTGGGACAAGTGTCTTGAGCGAGCGGCGATGCGTGCGTGTTGTTTATCAGCGGGACAGGCGGGCGGTTGCTACAGGGGACATCAGGCGGGARGGCGTTGAAGTGTTCGGGCTTCTTTTCTTCCCTATATAGCAATGACAGGCCGTGTTGTTTCACCTGTCGCGGCTGGCGGTCAGCAGCGCCGCTCTCTCCTTGCAAGCTCGCCCCCTAAAACCAGAACACAAGTGCTGGGATCACATGGGTTAGTCCATATGTGTTCAGGCCTTCGACCCGTGGATTAAAGCAACAAGCACGCCTGAGAAGAACCACAGGAACTGCATCAGTGGACAAGTAGACTGTGGAGTTGGCAAGATCCTGTTTCCAGCGGGCCTTATTGACTTCTAGCTAAATCAATCGAGGGATTCTGCAGAACGTTGTTTTTACAACTCTGTCACTTCTCGACAACAGAATTAGGTTTTAGTAGAAGATTTTGAAAAGGTTTGAGTGCCTCTCCTGGCTCTCTGTCCATATCTTTGCTTTTTGTTGACAAAAACCGATAAAGCTGAAAAAATGTTTTAAAACAGGGCTATTCAACTGGCGGCCCACGGGCCACATCTGGCCTGTAGATGACCAAAGTCTGTATATTCAAAGTATATTCATTGAGGCATTTAATATTACAAGTAAAATACTACCGCCAAAATAAAGATTTTAACTTTAGCACACATTTTATTTAGATTTATTTGCCAAATTTGCAACAGACATAAAACCAGTTTTCATTAAACCATTTTATTTGCTGACTTAAAGAGATAATCTATTATACCAGCTATGTYAAATAACAGAAGCTCACACATCAAAGGATTTAAAACAGGGTTATTCAACTGGCGGCCCACGGGCCATATTTGGCCCGCAGGTGACCAACGTTCGGCCCGCCAATTTCTTAAGGCCCAAACCTCCTGTTTTCTACTTTAATTCCTACAAGTTCTTTTACTTAAACATAGACATGTTTGGTATCTACAGAAACGTCAGAATCTTGTCTAGAAGCTGGTAAAAAAACATTTTTGACCACCCAAGACAGTTAAAGATAAAGACAGTTAAAGATATAGACAGTTGAAGAAATCTATGAAAGTGAAAATAAGATCGGTTTAAAAATTTGGCAAATCAGAGATGTCAAAATATTTTTGTGATAAACAGGAGGCAGAATGTGTTATTTTTGTTTTTGATATTGATTTATAATCACTACTTTWATTACATAGGGTTCTGTATGTTGTATTCATGCACATATGCATCAAAATAAACTATAACWTATCTTTGTATTTCTTGGTTTATTTACATGATGACTTTAATTGCTGGATGTTCGACCCCTGAGCTGTTGGCCTGCAGTAACTGTGGCCCCCCGGAGCAATTTAGTTTAAAAAAAACCCTGTTTTAAAATGACCAAACTGAGGCTTTAGCTGCATCAAATACTGTGAACATTTGTTGTTATTGCAAGATGATTAAATCACCAGTACAGATACTTTAACATGTGACATTCAGTCATCGTTCCTTAATCCAGCTCGTACACAAATGCACACATATACATGTCTTCACGGTGATTGACAAGACAGATTGAGGAACAGCTTCATGGGGGAGGTCAAGCTTGTGTTCGCGTGCACGCTCCGGGTATTTATGAGTTTGTTTGTGCCTGCATCAAGAAGAAAATGTGAGTTATTATGTATGTGTGTGAATGCTGCGACTATTCTGAACCTTAAAGCTGCAAATCTACTTTCAGCTGGTGGACATGTGCAGGACCGGATTTAGCAACACACCTGCTACTGGAATAAAAGTAACACGGCCCACTGGGCTATTTTTGGCGTCTGTTTAACAAGTTCCCTCTTATAGTTGCGTCCTGCTGAGTGAGTGAAGAGTGGGGTGGATCAGGCTAATACAGGAGGAGATGGAAGGGCCTGAGGGGGGGGTCAAATGGTAGCACTTGTGAGACAGCTGAAGTGACCGCAAAGATACCCAACAGCAGCGCCCAGAAAAGCAGCAAAACGTTGCATCACTGCTGCCTTTTTAAGCATTAAATATCATCCAAACTTGGCGTCAAATTCCAAGTTATGTGTGCTTTTTGTTATATTTACTTGGACCAAACAGTGTTCCATCAGCGAGACACAACGACCTTGTCACGTTTTCCCAGATCTGTCAGGTGCCCCTCTGAAGCTTCAGAGCCAGTTCACGCTGTGTCATCTTCCTGCCTGTTTGTCTGCAGTGCTGAACGGGAGCAGTCATTCTCCCACGTCGCTAAACGGTGCTCCATCCACTCCCAATGGCTTCAGCAACGGGCCGGCCATGTCCTCCACGGCCTCGTTGTCCAACCAGCAGCTCCCGCCCGCCTGCGGAGCCCGGCAGCTCTGCAAACTGAAGCGCTTCCTGACGACGCTGCAGCAGTTTGGGAATGACATATCGCCCGAGATCGGAGAGAGGGTGCGCAGCCTCGTGTTGGGCCTGGTGGTAAGCTGTGATTGTCATCCGTGTCGCATTTTCCCTGCAACAAAAACAGCCAAGAGGGAGGAGTTCAGTGCCCTTTTTCTGTTTCTGATTAGAATGGTAGCTATAATGTGCAATGATTAGCGGATTTATCCACAAAGCATCTTTTAGAACGCTGAAGTCTCCATTGGAACGTGTCTTAAATGTTATTTCATCTGTTTTTGGACAGAACTCCACTCTCACCATTGAAGAGTTTCACTCCAAACTTCACGAGGCCACAAACTTCCCCCTGAGGCCTTTTGTCATTCCTTTCCTAAAGGTAAATGTTTGTTTTGGAGAGTTTACCCAAAATGATTTCAACCGCATGTCTTCTGATGTTAGGTTTAAAGAGATGTGGGGACGTGTAGAGTAATTATGAGCAGACAGTGTCTTACCTTCAGTAGATAGCAGCCTGTCAGAGAGAAACGATGAGAAGAGCAGTTTTTTTCATCTAAACCTAAAAAATGTCTCAGCAATTTCATCATTTGCTACACGAAATATTTTTCTATGACATCACTAGAGTGGGTRGATATTGGCAATTAATTTAATCACGATTAATTGTGGCATTTAGCCGATAACGATTCATGTGACAATTGAACTCCTGGAGTCCCTGAACGCTGGCACGTCCTAGTCACGTGACCTATTTGAYTCACTCTACTGGTATAGATGTGCTCTCTCTAATAATCTCTTCCAGTTTGTATCAGAAGTACAGACTTTAAGCTGAACACCAGTTTTTAAATTGTGTTGATAGCACAAGTATAACCGGAGTTATGATAAATAGTTTACGACACTATTTTTTTAAATGTTTGTCATATTTGAAGCGTGTTGCAGTGAAAGACGAGCAGATTCACCTCAATCCACCTTCTGGTTCCACCCTCATCTCTGCCGAACTGACATAAAACCCAAAATCTCCTTTCTGACTGACGCCTGAAGTTATTTAACAAACACCAAAAAATCTACAGGAAGAAGAAAATAAAAAGAAGCGAAAGTTGAATGAAGTTTTGTGATGATAGAGACACAACATGAGTGAGAGTGAGCAATGAGATTTGAGAGATTTCTGATATTTAGTGTTTGGATTTTATAGTTAGGATGTAGTTTAGTGGTAAGTTTAGTCAGTTTTAGAGTCTTTAAGTCAAAACAATGAGGCAATATTTGAATATTGAGCTGCGGACAGCTGGACCGAGTCGCTGTAAGAACATTTGCAGAGAGAGGAGGGAAACTCAAAGACAGAGATAACAGAGTGAGGACTTTGACGAGGAAGTAGGCGATCTATTATTTGAATTAGAGGAAAAAAGAAGAGGAGTTCTGTGGCAAGTTTAAGCAACAAGGTTGCGAGCCTCAGCTTTTGCAACTCAAGTGAGGAAACTGAGAACAGTCAAGAATGCTGCAAACCATTCTGGAGACTCCCTTACAAATGCTGTTTGCTAACAAGTTGCTAGCAGTRGCAGAGAAATATTACCTTTAAATGGTACCTGCATTTTTTTATAAGCTTCAAATCTATATGGGAATTTAAATCTTGTTCTGATRTGAAGCCTAGATCCTTATTTATTAGCCTTCACTCGTAACCATCATAGTAAACGCAGACAGTAGCAGGACGAGAACGTAAATATGTCTTTAAAAAGAGTTAAGTGTGAAAGTGTGTGTGAATGTGTCGGACCTCCTGGCGCGCGATGATCCTTCACATCTGGGACATCGCAGCAGACGCTGTGTTACATCAAACAGACAGGTTTGAGAGAGCTGTTTGACAGCAGTGTTACGCACACYTTCTCACACACACAGATACAAAACACACTCCACATGGTGGAGGAATGTGTCGAGGGTTCTGTCTTATCCCATCCTATCTCTTCATCTACCACCCTCCTCTCTTCCCACTCGGTCTAATCTGGTTATGTTTCACRCTCTTCCCATGTATCTAATGAACCCCTGTGAGWTTTTTTTAGTTTCTCCTCCAGTTTGAGCAACTTTTTCCTTGAAGTTGACATCGCTGAAGTTGTTTAATTCCTAACCAAAGATGTCTGTCTTTCCTCTTTTACCCACCAAAGGCAAACTTGCCTCTGCTGCAGAGGGAACTGCTGCACTGTGCCAGATTGGCCAAACAGACTCCAGCTCAGTATCTGGCTCAACACGAACAGCTTCTCCTGGARGCCAACGCCAGCTCGCCCCTCGACTCCTCTGAGATCATGCTGGAGATGAACGAGCACGGGAAGAGAAGGACTCCTGACAGGTAACMGAAGAAAACACAGACTTTAGGTGTGCTAAGGTGGCAGATTGAGACTTTTTTTCTCTCAATGCCATGTGTCTCTTGGCTTTGGAGGGGAAGCTATTAATCGTTTGTGCAGGAGGCAGAGGTCTGGGCAGTCCTGATGTCAGACCGACTCTGCCAGCTGTCTGAGAAGGTGGAGTAAAAAAAAGACACTGAGTGGGAGTGTTGTTTTTATATTTGGGAATTTCAACTGTGAATAGTTTAATATGGCAACATTTAACACCATTCTGTGATGGGGTATAGGATACCAAACCCTTTGATACTGGCTGTTCAGTCTTTGTACAGCCGGTGTCAGAGCCTGGTCTGCATTGCGGACAGTAYGTCGGGCTTGTTTCCTGTGAGTTGGACTCTGCCAAGGTTGCTCTTTGTCACCGATTCTGTTCATAACTTTTATAGACAGAATTTCTAGGCGCAGCCAAGGTGTTYAGGGGAAACGTTTTGGTGYCCTTAGGATCACATCTCTGCTTTTTGCYGATGATGTGGTCCTATTGGCTTCATCAGATCCTCCAGCTCTCACTGGAGCGGTTCACAGCRGAGTGTGAAGCGACCGGGATGAGGATCAGTGCCTTCAAACTGAGACCATGGTCTTGWGCCYGAAAAGGGTAAAGTGCCTCGTCCGGGTCAGGGAAGAGGTCCTGCCCCAAGTGGAGGAGTTTAAGTYTCTCGGGGTCTTGTTCATGAATGAGGGAWGAATGGAGCGGGAGATCGACAGGCGYATTGGTGCTGCGTCTGCAGTGATGCAGGCGCTGTACCGGTCTGTTGATTAACCGGTCAATCTACGTTCCTACCATCATCTATGGTCACYAGRTTTGGGTAGTGACCAAYAGAARGAGATCGCYAATACAAGCAGTCGAAATTAATTTCCTCCGCWGAGTYTCTGGGCTCTCTCTTAGAGATAGGTTGAYAAGTTTGATCATCTGGGAGYGACTCAGAGTAGAGCCGCTGCTCCTCCACGTTGAGAGGAACCAGRTGAGGTGGTTCATCTGGTTAGGATGCCTCCTGGARGCCTCCCTGYTGAGGTGTTCRYYGCATGTCCRACTGGGAGGAGYCCCAGAGGAAGACCCAGGACACGCTGGAGGGACTATGTTTCTCAGCTGGCCTGGGAYCACCTTGGGATTCCCCCAGAGCTGGCCCAAGTGGCTGGGGAGARYGAAGTCTGTGTCTCTCTGCTTAYGCTGCTGCCCCCGRGACCCGACCCTGGATAAMTAAAAGAAAATGGATGGATGAATGAATGGARAACACTGTTCTGTTCYAGAGTAACCTGTAACCTGAAAGATTAAGACAAGCGTTATTGCCATGCAGTAAAAAGTTGAGATATTTCTCCTGGAGTGTAGGCTGGGGGTGGATGTGTGCCGCGGGGTCAAGCTGTCACARACCTGCATGCCCAGGCGCCTGCTCAGTGGAGCAGCTGCGCCTCGATTTTTTAAATTGGGGGTGTAAACTTCTGCTTTTGCACCCCATTTTTTTGACCTATAAACGTGTCTTCATCCTCAGCCATAAGGCAAAAAGAAACAGCTTCTTTTTGCTGTTCTCCTCCCCGTGTAAGAACATCCTTTTTCTGTTTTCGCCCTCATCTCTTTCTGGCACTTTCCGTTCACATCTTTACCCCGCTGCCTCTCTCCGCCCGCCTGACCCGTTGCCCCCTCCCAGCAGCTGTCCATGTGTCAAGGATGTGTCCAGATGGTAATATCCTGAGCGGGGTGATGGGAGGTGGTGGTTTGGACAGACCGGAACGTCCAGTTAAAACTGGCTCTGCAATCCCGCTGTAATCTGCACACCTCCGCCTCCTGACCTCTGGCTTACACGCAGCATGTGGAGCTCAGCGGAGAGGGAGGGCAACATTTTTCCAGCTGTTCCTCTCGTTTGTGGGCTACTCCAGCAGACGCCAGTGTACACATYGAAAATCGTGAGCGCAGACACATGAACACGTCGTCTACGTGTGGCAGCATCGACCTGGTTTTGATCCCTGCGGTGATAAAGAGTGATTTCTATCTGAACGCCCGGCTATCGCCATCCAGCTAAACAGATTGTTATCAACACTCCCYTTTTAAACTGTCCAGATGGCTTGAAATCACAACATGCACAAATACACACCCGCTCAAAGTACACAGACACAAATGAGTGTGACTGAACATCTGTCAAATACGCAGCCTTCATTGCCCCTAAAGCCTGAGTGCAGGGTGGGGGATACTTGCAATCTAAGAGCAGGCAGAGGGATATTCAGATTAAGAGCTTGAGATGTGGGGTGTACAGTTGGACTTGGTTTTGTTGGACACATATGGTGTACAGCTGTGCATAAGCTTTGAAAAAGCAGAGCCTTACTGTAACTGAACAACAAGCAGCTCTTATACGTGTGTGTGTGTGTGTGTGTGTGTGTGTGTGTGTGTGTGTGTGTGTG